ATGGATGGATGGAAGGATGGATGGTATTCATGCCCTGCATGGATAAAACTAATCCACCAACTGTCAGCCTCCTAACTCTCTGATGGGAGGTATTTTTAGGTCCTACGTCTCTCAGTCAGTCATCAGCCAGGTTTAATAAGCCCCTTTGCTGTCTTGTGTCTCATCTTTATTTGGTCAGTGGAATTAAGCAGAGATCTCCAAAGATTGCCATATGCACAACATTATCTCTGAAATTTGGGGGATTCCTTAAGCAGCCTGTGATTAAATGAACTTCCAAATCCGATCTGGAGCTCAATCCAAAAATATAAACAAGATTAAAAACCATTCATTTCAACAGCTATGACAAATTATGGAGGTCCACCAAAACGATAATGATATGTATCGCATATGAATGGGATAGCTAACAATAAAAAATCTGTTCCATAATTATTCAATAAAAGGTCTTTAACTTTGCAAGCAATTTAACTGTAAATAACAGGAAATGTGGCAGCATGCAAGGTACTCTGGGGGATGTAGTTTAAGAGGACAGCATCTCAGCCATTAGCTGATTACCCGATCCGTCCCGGAAGCACGATCCGTACCACCAGCTCATTTGCGCACAACCAGATATACATCCGGGTCGCCCTCGATTTTTCTTTTGTAAAAAAAAACTAAATTACGTTTTTCACTCCCAAAAACAGTAAGCGTACTAAACAATAATGTCTTAAAGATTAATAATGTATTTTCTGAGAAAGAAAATGCCTTAAAACCCCTTCTGTACCGGAAATAGGATCCTACGCTACTTCTGGAAGCTAACTTTTTCGGCTTTAGATTTAAACATAAATCTAGTCTTTTGAGTTTAATGTTTTCCTTCGTGTTAACCTTATGGTATATAGTGCGTGATCTAGAGAAAGAAAAAACTAAAATTCAGATAAATATGGTGTAATCATATTTTGCCGGACTCTGAGCATGTCCGATGATGACGTCACACAAGCAGTTTAACCGAGAAAATGTGAAAAGCATCAAAAATGTCTCAGAAAAGTCATAAAACATTTTTTAAAGATACGCATTAGTATTCTTTAGTGAGTCAAGGATAGAAATAAGTCATTTTAGTACCATAATTACATTATTTATTGATACCTGGATGTATATCTGCGAATATGCAAATGAGCTGATGGTACAGTACGGATAGTGCTTCTGGGATGGAGCCTCTCTGTGCTTTCTCAACTGCACTGTTTCAAAACTACAGTGGATAGTGTTTGCCAGCATGAGAGGACATTATGGACAAAAGAGGAAGGGTATCGGACCCAGTGTGGCAGCATTTTAGATATTTGAAGTCTGGTTACCATGCCAACAAACGGTCTTATTTTATCACCAGAGCCAATCTGATCTCATGCATTACAATAACCTAAAGCCATCGTCATCTGCAATTTGCAACAGACCAACATCAAAAATTACATGAAATTGGCGCCATAAAATGGATAAAATAATTATTTGCTGACTGTTTTTCACATTTTTATTTAGTGATTACTATTTAAAAGGGTAAAGCCAAAGCTTTAATTTAAAAATAAATGCTTTTTGGGCTAAATTCTGCCTTTTTTCCCTCCTAGTCTTTATTTTGCATGGTATAAAAAGTATCAATAATTATCGATTTTAAACCTAATATCGTGATATGCTCTTTGCCAAACCACATTCACCGCCTCACATCTACGAACCTCAAAGAAAGGAGACAAAACACTCATAATCTCTGTGCCTGGCGGGAAGGGCAGACCTGTATTCGATTTTCCTGGTGTCGGCTGAAGGCCTCGGGCAGGTCGTCCCAGTTGGTTAGCTTGATGTCCAGAGGGATGAAGCTCAGGTTCAATGGAACTCCCTCCTACAAGCAGAGGAGACAGATGTTGGTGGGTGTAGGTTCTAATATTGGACCTAAACATAATAAAACGGCGAACAGAAAGCAAATATTTACCACACACTGTTTTAATAGACTTTTTTTTTAACCTCCCATTATTCTGGTACCTAAAATATATCAATTTAGTCGATACTGAACTATTTGATGCTGTTTTAAGCGTTTTATATAATCAAAATGAACCTTTTTGACGCATCTTTGGGTCCTCACTTCAAAAACAGAAGAACTAGCATATTTATTTCTAAATATGTCTAATAATGCTGAACTATGAAGCAGTCCGTGTAAAAAAAAAAATTGGTTGAAACCTTGAAGGCATTTTGAAAAAAAAAAAAAAACAAGAGTTATTTGGTCCTTTGTTTGCAAAACCCAAATTGTCACTCTGTAATTAGAAACCCAATATCCAGTTTTGCAGAGTTCACATTTAATTAGTTTCATTACGTACCCTGTCTCGGTTTGCACTAAAACTTTGGGTATCTTTAGGCAAGCAATCAGATTTCTAATTACTAACTCACAAAACTTGAATCCAATTACATTCAAGTTTCTCTGGCCACACTTTATCCTTTATTGGTTTCCATGGTAATTCCTGTGGTAACCAAGCAGCTCGTTAGCGATCTCAGTTGTTTTCTCTCCTCTTTTTTTTTTTATGATGCACGTTTGAAGATGGTGCTTCTTCTGTGACACTTTGCATGCATTAGCATCAATAATGGAGAACAGGAAGAAAAACATGCATATACCACTAAGATTGTCCCTTTCTGCAATTATAGGTAATCATTCTGCAGTGGTCTGGCCGTAACCGTGTAATCAATGGAAAAAAATAACCAAAGTAAAAAACATTTTCCCAGTTATTACAGCTTCATTAGCTCTAACTACAGTCAATTTGAAGCCTGGGAAGCCACTTACCCTCAGAATTAACTCCAATCAACCAATAGCCACTGTGCCACACACTGGGCATATTTGACAAGAGGAAAAAAAAAAAAAAAGCTGACCAGTGAAATGCCACATTCTTTCAGCAGCCAGAGCCACTTGAGGCCTGGAAATGAGGGACGTAGAAGAAAGAAAAAAAAGGATATAGTCTAAAGGTTAATACCTGCCAACAGCCGACACAGGGATTTGGAGATGTATATCAACATTAGGAAGTGTTTCCTGAGCTGCAGCGGTCTAGCTCAGAGCCCCTCGTGTTTATTTGGATTATGAAAAAATAAATATCATGGAGAGTCAGGGGAACGGTGCAGCTGGTTGTGCTGTAACAGCATGGAGCAGGATTAGAGATAGACGGAGAAAAAAAAAACCTTCTATCCTAACATGCAAAAAAAAAAATAATTGAGTAAACTATTTTATACGTTTCTCTAAAAATAAAAAAAATAAATCCAGTCTCATTTAGCATCTTTAACTACAGATAAACAGCAACATGATTAAGGATGCTAAACCAATGCCAATATACATTTTGGGACTTCAACTATGAGATTTAGATTAAGCTTTTTATGTAGGTGAGAAAGCAACTATATACACTGTTGGGTACGGTGGAGGACCATAATGCTGTGGGCCAGCTTTGCCTCCAAAGGCCATGCAAATTTGTTTAGAGTGTTGAGCATCATTAAATGTTATATCCAGATACTTCTAATAGGGCTGAAACAACTAATAAATTATTGAAATTACCGTCAACTAATTTAGTATTCGATTTATCGTTGACTGTAGTTTAGAAACTCTAAAATTATGCCAAGATTGTAAAAATATATATAAACATTTTGCATTTAAGATAAAAAAAAATGTCAATATAGTCTATCCAGAACTCCTCAAGTGGAAAAGTTTGAGTTTCACCTGGTTTAATTTAATAAAAAGTCTTCTTTAAGGAATCTTTGGCTATCCAATTATTAATTAATTAATTGAAAAAACAATTACCAATTAACTCAATATATTCTCATCATCAGTTCGTATGAAATCGTACGAAAAGTTATGCACAGTTTTTCGTACGTTTTGGACGTTTTTCCTCGGAAAAACAGATCAGTTCGCATTCGCAACCAGACAGACGAAAAAAGCAGATCCGTGGACGAACATAAAACTGGGAGAAACAGTGCAATAATTACCTTTTCATGTCTCTAACTACGTTGCTTGCTGTTTTGTATCTTAGGGTTAGGGTCAGGGTTTATTGTATGTTAAATTCTATGTTATTGAATTGTGCGTAAGATGCGCATGCGCAAGGATATCTTGTCTCGAGGCAATACGTAAAAATACCACGAAATACCACGAAAAAAACGTCTAAACGTACGAAATTACGGTGCATAACTTTTCGTACTGATAATGAGAATACCCTGATTAACTGCTTTACAAAATAATCATTAGTTGCAGCCCTAAATTCTGTTAAAAAAACAAAAAAAAAACAAAAAAACAAACAAGCATAACAGATGGGTAAATAGGCTGCAAATGACACAAATCTATAGAAATACATCATTATACACAATATCTTTTTTTTTTTCCTATGGCTTTCTCATCCCTAAACTCTACAGAAAATCTGTAGACAGAGATAAAAAGGAGAAATTACTATTGGAAATTAACTATTGGATTATTTGAAAATTGAGCAAAGACAATGAACTCCCAAAGAAATGATTGTGATATTACAGTTCTCTGCAACCTCTCCACTCGCTTCATGACTGCTGGGAATACAACCAGCAACCCCCCCCTGCTTCTGTTCAATCTGTTGAAATGGATAGAAGCAGGAGCAAGAAAGGAGCCAATTCTTGAAGGGGAAAACTTGAAAGCAACAATATTTTGGGAGAAAATCAAATCTTGAATGAGGATCTGAGACTTGAACGGGGAGAATAGCTGTGACGATTGGACCCCTGACAGGTTATCTGTCTGCGGAATAGCAGATAGGAGCTTTGACTTAAGTAATAGTGACACTGCTCCCTGAAAAGAAGAGGCTACTCACTTCAGTAAGCATAAACTGTAAGTTAAGGTTTTTATAGGGAGGTATTAGCTGTTTTTTCAACACCTGCAATGCATCAGAAATACCTCACTTGCATTTATTTATTTAAAACATCTGGAGGAAACTGTGCACATCAGTTAAGCCCACTTTATGTTGATCATTATGAAATAAAATCCCACTAAAACACGCTGATGCAACAGAAGGTTAAGAGGAATTCACAGATCGAGGGGAATTTTGCAGATTCATCCAAATCCTGTAATGCAAAGACAGAATCGGTAAACTGCTCCCATTTCATGAGTGGACATAAAAAATACTTAATCCAGCTGGTATTTCTCCTCCAAGCCTCACTGACAACTCTTCATCTGATTCTGCACTGAACATCACCCCCCTCGGAGCGAATTCGACGCCTGGCCCAGGATTATCCCGACGTGACAGCTTTGCAGCCGGAATTCCACTAGTTTATCATTTAAACGACAAAGGGGGACATTTATCTCAATGGCTTATCGCCTCAGCCGCGCGTAGATGACACCGCTCTATTGCCGTCAGGGAAAAATTCCTTTGGTGATTCAGTTCAGCGCTTTGGTCCTCTCTATTTAAAACCCTCTCGTCTCTTATCTGCTGCTGCGGGGAAGGAGCTTGAGCCCTCATGAATGAAACAAAAGGCCGCCAAGTATCACGACGCGATCGATACAGAGATCTGTTGGCAAGTGCCACTCGGAGACGGGGGGGGCCAAGGATGCACAGGACTTCAATTAGAGTCACGCTTGGGTAAAACTAGGGGTTGAATTAATCTGACGGGTGGAGGAAGCAGCAGAGGGTTTGATTATGAAGAGGGATGACCAAATGAAAGCAAAGATTTCCTGGAAATATCACCAGACATGAGCGTTTAGCTGCTCTATGATCAAGGTTCTCACCTCCGGTCAAATCTTTGGTTAGAGGCTCTTTCAGCTGTGATCTACTGAAACATTTGTGGAGTCACTGAGGGGAAAATCTCTTCTCCTGATGGGGAATGATTTTATTAGCTTCTTAAAATAAGAAAACTAACGGCTTTTATTTGTTCTCTGAGCAAAGCTGCTCATAATGGCCTCAGGTCAAAAGAACAGGACACTTAAAACCCAAGATGGAATCACTGTTTATACCAAAGCTGCTGAGCTTAAATATATATAAATATAGAGTATTTTCATGCTCTTATATGCTCCTGACTTAATCTTAGCGATAATCCTCCCCTTGCTCCTTGTCTTGTTTAACTGGAGAATATAAATGGATTTAGAAATGCTTTATCTTTTACCACACAGCCTGAATAAATCTCCATATACAGAAAAAAAACAAACATGTAAAACAGGCTCCTGTTGGTGGGAGTGTATTAAGGCTGAAGGCTATTACACTTTGATGTGTTGTATGGACACATTAATGCATGTTTTCTCTCAGTCTAAGCTTATTAAAGGTTAGGGAAAGCAAAGCCGTTTTGAATTATAGTTAATAATGAATCAAATCTAAATGACGCACATTATGGAAAACGTTACCTTATTTTAGGTTATATTTCTACCGTAACCTCTTAGGTTTCTACCGTAAGAAAGGAATTACACTTTCAGTGTTCTTAACATTATAAATGTGTAATAATTTTCGGATGGCGGAATCTTTAGGATTTTCTTTAGCAGGGAAGGGAAGCTAAATACAGGGAAAGCCCTCTAAAACCTGTTAAGAGGCTGCAAAGGACCTGCAGCTGGGTTGGAGGTTCATCTTCCAACAGAGCTACTATCCAAAGTTCAGATATAAATGCGGCTGAAAATATGCTGCAAGACGCTCACGGAAAAACTCCATCTAATCTGACTGACCTCGGGCTATTTTGCAAAACAGAAGGGAGGAAATATTTCAGTCCCTAGAAGCTCTAAGCTTGAAAACTTGACACTGCAATCGCAGCAAAAGGAGGTTTAAACAAGTCCTGATTTGGAGGGAATAAAGATATACGAGTTGGAATTTCTCCTGATGTGCAAAGTTTTTCAGAACTGTGAGTCATTTTCCTTTCACTTCCCTCTCATGCAAATCAGATTAGCCAATGTCTCCTTATTTGCCACAGACTCATCACCAGCATTTTGTTGGGAAAATAACATTTTTTTTTAAAGAAATCTAAGATTATTAAACTCAGTTTAGTTTAAAACAAACTTGATAAAGATGAGAAATTATGGGTTTGTAAGTAAAAAGGAAAATCAACTCCATCCATCCATCCATCCATCCATCCATCCATCCATCCATCCATCCATCCATCCATCCATCCATCCATCCATCCATCCATCAATCCCTCTTATCCCAGCTGGGGTTGTGAGGGGTGCTGGTGTCCCATCTCCAGCTGTCTACGGGTGAAACGCGGAATACACCCTGGACAGGTCACCAGTCCATGGCAGGACAACACAGAGACAACAATTCACGCACAAGAAGCCAATTAACCCTCGTTAACCTTGTTTTTGGACTGTGGGAGGAAGCCGGAGTACCCAGAGAGAACCCACGCTTGCACAGGGAAAACATGCAAACTCTGCTGGCATGTTGGGAATCAAACCCGGGACCTTCTTGCTCCAAGGCAGCAGTGCTACCTACTCCACCTCTGAGCAGCCCCGGAAAATCATCTCATACCTGAATAATTTATTTTGTCGAAATTAAAACCATCCTTATTTTAAAATATCAGCAATTTGCTTCTAATTTTAAAGTAAGAACAAGTCAAATATGAACCAGCAAGCTAGACCTTAAAACATAATCAATGGATATTAGCCAACTAAGCCCTGTTGGCGATATTATTTCAGACTGTGACTAACTGGATGTGCCCTCTTCATCCTCTGACATGGGAGCTGGTTTAGAGCTCGTCTGCCTGGTTGTGTGTTTCCTGGACGGGGCGACCTGTGGAGCTGGTTTACAGCTGCTTTTTGTATCTCTGCTTCTGTCTCCTTGAACCCCAGTCGGCCTCAGCAGATGGCCGCTCACACTGAGCCTGGTTCTGCTGGAGGTTTCTTCCTGTTAAAAGGGAGTTTTTCCTCTCCACTGTCGCTACAAGTATGCTTAGTGAGAGGGATTGCCTTTGAGTCAATGAGTCGATGCAATCAACTGGTTTTCCTTAGATAGAAAATTTTGACCCAATCTGACTGGATGATCTGGTTGAATTGTTTCTTAGAGGTGCCATGTGAATTGGCGCTATAGAAATAAACTGAACTGAATTTAATTATTTGGTACTTTGTTTTCCAAATAAAAAGAGACAGTTGCTTGACTAAATGTTTAAAAGTTTGCTCCATACCTTCGCTTTGCACTGCTCCTATTCACTGTTGCTTTTTTAAAAATATTAATTAACAAATCATGTCTAACCATGATGGAAAACACAGCATTTTTTCTTTCATACATGGACTTCTCTAATGCTGTAGTCTCACATCTACCCTGTTTGCTAATTGGCAGAGTGGGAAAGAAGTTCAGGTTCTTTGCTGCTATTAGCAGCTCATAAAGCTGAGGAAAGATCATTGATCTTAATGGTTTTCTCAAGCAATAAAAAAATGAAAGAATTGAATCATCTTTCAACCGTTTCTGTCTTAATTTTCCACCTAGTCTGCAGGGGTATCAGGGTAAAGGGGGGTAAACGCATATAAATGTAAAACCTTTCAGATTTGAACCGTATATCATCATCCAAAGAGCCCCAGGGCCAAACCTTAGACACCCCTGGTCTATCCCAGTAACATCCATTGCAGCTTGTTGGCTGCAACATGACAAAATGAGGAAAAACTTTTGCAAGGCTCTGCAGGAGGTGAAAGTGCCTCAAGTGTCAGAATAATCACTGTCAGGCTGACTCTGAGCATAAAAAGATGCAGAAGCGTACCTTGGAGTAGAGATATATGCGGTCTGTGTACTGGCTGGCGCAGAACTGCAGGGCCGGGTAGACGAGCCGGGCGGCGGTGGCGTCAGCTTCATCTTTGCCCTCATCACCCCCATTAGCATGGAGAGCAGAAGATGAACACGGCTCAGCTCCGCAGTCTGCAGGGAGACAAGAGGAGGCTGACTAATATCTCACTGAGCATATATTATTGGTTCATTATTGGCTTTTCTGGCTTTATTGGTACTCCGCCTGCTCCTTTGGTAATGCACTGAACAGCACAGACATTACACTGCAGAAGATTTTAGCATTTATTACACAGAAGATAATATTGGGAAAATATGACATCTGTGTACTGTATTCAGTCAGATTAGAGAAATGACTTTGTATTTATGCTTATTGCTTTCAAACATTTATGAGAGAATCGGAAATTAAGCGTTGGGGTTATTACCTCTGATATTTCCGTCTGTGGATGTAACTATAAAACGGGTAAAGATTTAATAATTTGTGTTATTTTAACACGAAGCATTAAAAATATTAATCAGGAATTAGTTTTAATAAAGTTAAAGCAATGTTCTTGAATTGTTGAAGTATAAATGGCCTCTTTGACATATATCTAATTTGAACAAAAGCAAAACAAAATTAGTAAGGTTTATTATTCAATAAAGGGATTACCTTAAAGCAACAGTACATAGAAAATATCTTTAAATCAAAAGTTTTCCTAATATTTTCAATTACCAGCTTAGCTACTCTATGTTACATGTTAGACCTCTTCTGATTGGCTGATAAGATTCTTATAATATCTCCTTCTCCACATGATTTCTCTATGAGCTACTGCCTTAATAGGAGCACCTAAGAAACCTTTAAACCCATCAAGGACTCCAGCTCTTTATAATCTGCACCACCGAGGGGTATTGGTGGTTCTGGTGCTGATTAAAGCTGGGCAATTAACTGCATTTGCAATATAATCTCAATTTAACAAAAGGCAATTTTCATTTCAACAGATTAAGATGCTACATTTCTCACTGCAGTGGGTTTGCAGCCAAAAAGGAGGAAAGAGTTGCTGCTATGATGCAGATCCATGCATGCAAGAACAACTATCAACATTTTCCTACAAAAGTTACAGTAAAGTTTTGCAACACTCTAGATAATCAAACCTCCAAAGTGAAAACTTGAAACCTTAGATTGGAACATCTACATCAGGCATCCCCAAAGTCGGTCCTCGAGGGCCGCTGTCCTGCAGGTTTTAGAGGTTTCTCTGCTTTAGCACAGCTGATTCTGATGATTGCAGTTCAGCAAAAGCATGTTAATCAGCTATCAATGTAAATCAGCTGTGCTGGAGCAGGAAACCTCTAAAACCTGCAGGACAGCGGCCCTCAAGGAACGACTCTGGGGATGCCTGATTTACAAGTTTGTGGTCAATTCAAACACTGGAAAAAAAAATTTGAAATCTAAATAAGTCATTTTTTCTTAAAATAAGTGCATTTGTTCTTGGATTGAGGAGGTAAGAGAGACATTTTGCCAATGGAACAAGACAATTTACACTTAAAATAAGAAAACACAATTGTATTGTCTTATTTCAAGAGCATTTTGTCTAATTTCCTTATTTTAAGAATAAAAATACACATTACATTTGCAAGCTATCTTATTTGCATACTCAAATTAAGGGTAAATACACTTAATTTAGTGATTTTTTTTTACTTATTTCTAGATCGTTTTTCCAGTGAAGAAAAATCTAAATAAAATTGCACTATTGGTTAGGAATAATTGCAATTTTGACTTTTAGCAAAATGGTTCAGCCCTGGTGCTGATGGGTTCGTACAATTCTGAAACTTTGAATTCATCCTCCCTATTTTTTTTCTCTCAATTCTTTGTTTCTTAGATTAACAGACATTCAATCCGAAAGTCATACCTGAAAAATCTGTTTAGACACCTTAAAAAAAAAAAAACATACATCAACTCCTTCTGAAAACATAAAGTTTAGGGTTTTTTCATTATAAAAGGTCTGATAATTTTCTGTAAATATCTACCTTTTTAAGATTGCAAACAACTAAGGCTCAGCTTAAAACTCAAAAAAGCTCTAAATATATTAACTTTAAGTCCAGAGCTACTTTTTTTCCCCTTCCTCATAAAATAATCCCAACTGCTTCTTGAAGATATAAAAACCCCAAAAGAGAACAAATCAAATAGTTTCCCACTCAGCATCCAGGCATCATTAAGAGTTTTTCAATCCTATCAGTACCTACTATAAATTTGCCCCATTCCACTATTTCCAATTAAAATTGGCAACACTATTAGGTCGATTTAGTTTTTTTTTTTAACGTTCTATTGATGGCTTCTAATAAATTCGCCTTCAGACTCGACTCATCCAACTCACTAAAGCAAAACAACAAGTCCAGTGTTGTGTAATATTGCTCCAGCATCTTTGATGGGGAACCGTCCAATTTATTTTTCACAACTTTCACCCAAGAAGTTGCAGAACAAACGGATGGAAGCACAGCTAGAGGGAGAGAAAAAAAAGAGTGATAAAATGACAGGCCCGGTTGGGGAGAAACAGAGAAAGAGTGAGCAGGTCATTAATGTCAGCCATGTAGCTCGCTCATGCTGCCAGCATCTAGCAAGAAAAGGTCAGGCGCTGGAAATGAGACTGCCACTGTTCGACCACGCTTCATTTAGACAATGACCTATAACACTCTAATAATACTTGCCTTAAATCACTCTGCGTGGCCAGTTGTCTGCCTTGTCACTGTGTGTGTTCATGAAAATGCGTGTGTGGTCATTTGGTCGGTAATGGGGATAAAGAACTGACACAGCCTGATGTGTGTAACAAGTGACTGCTGTTAAGGAAACGCTGGCAGGTACCTACATGGATCCCTTCAGGTTATCGGACACATTTCTGGCACTAGATGGGAACGCCTGAGGAAGCTAAGAGATAAAGAGAAGAGATAAAGAAGGCGCTAATTGGAGCAAAGACCAACCTATTGATTTAGAGTTAATGGAATCTCTTAGCACTCCATGTTTGCTACCATTACAGAAATATAGAAAATATCTCCAGACGTAGCAAATATTATTTCCTTCTCCATTTCTTAATGTGAGCAATAATCCAGTCTAATTCAAACCTCCAAAGGAACTCATAAATCTATCATATATATATATATATTTATATATGTGTGCTAAACTGCTGGTGTACCATTTTGTAATCATTTTAGATATCTCTCTAAAAATAAACACTGCATAGTAGCAGCAACTTTAATTATAGAGTCAAGAGTTGGAATCGTTTTTCAGTGTTTAGTCCCGTTTCTCTCCTAGACCTATATAGCTATGAGCTCACCTCTTACTGTGACTAACTATACACTACCGTTCAAACGTTTGGGATCACATTGAAATGTCCTTATTTTTTAAGGAAAAGCCCTGTACTTTTCTATGAAGATAACTTTAAACTACTCTTAACTTTAAAGAAATACACTATATACATTGCTAATGTGGTAAATGACTATTCTAGCTGCAAATGTCTGGTTTTTGGTGCAATATCTACATAGCTGTATAGAGGCCCATTTCCAGCAACTATCACTCCAGTGTTCTAATGATACAATGTGCACATTGACTCAGAAGGCTATTTGATGATTAGAAAACCCTTGTGCAATCATGTTCACACACCTGAAAACAGTTTAGCTCGTTACAGAAGCTACAAAACTGACCTTCCTTTGAGCAGATTGAGTTTCTCGAGCATCACATTTGTGGGGTCAATTAAACATTAAGATGGACAGAAAAAGAAAACTTTCATCTGAAACTCGACAGTCTATTCTTGTTCTTACAAATGAAGGCTATTCTATGCAAGAAATTGCTAAGAAATTAAAGATTTCTTACAAAGGTGTGTACTACTCCCTTCAGAGGACAGCACAAACAGGCTACTCCGGGTACTATTTAATGAAGATGCCAGTTGGGGACCTATGAGGCGTCTGTTTCTCAAACTAGAGACTCTAATGTACTTATCTTGTTGCTCAATTGTGCAACGCGGCCTCCCACTTCCTTTTCTACTCTGGTTAGAGCCTGTTTGTTTGCCATTAGAACACTGGAGTGATAGTTGCTGGAAATGGGCCTCTATACACCTATGTAGATATTGCACCATAAACCAGACATTTGGGGTTAGAATAGTCATTTACCACATTAACAATGTATAGAGTGTATTTCTTTAAAGTTAAGACTAGTTTAAAGTTGTCTTCATTGAAAAGTACAGTGTTTTTCTTCAAAAAGTAAGGACATTTCAATGTAACCCCAAACTTTTGAGCGGTAGTGTATTTTCCCTGTTTCATCTTGTTTGATATGAAAACTGGCTAAGAGTTTATCTACTTAAAAGTGCTTTTTTTTATGATACCTTCTCTATTATACCAGGTATTTATGGATAAGTGCATCTATGTTCCTTTTGCGTGTCTGCTTCAGTCTGCTTGGACTCCAAGTCTGCTTTGACAGAAGGCATCTCACACTGAGTCTGGTCCTGCTTGGGTTAAAAGGGAGCTCCACTGCTGCTGCATGCATGCTCAGTATGAGGGATTGCTGCAGAGTCAGCGATGCAAAGCAAGCAAATATCTACCGTGACTGCATGTTCATCAAGGCGGAGCAAATGCTGCAATGTCGACAACTCAATGCAGTCAGTTCGGGTCCTTGGTTACTTTTAACCAATCTGTCTGTATGATTTGATAAAACTGTCTATGCAAAGTGTCTTCAGGTGGAAAGTGTTGTCAAACGGCATTAAATAAACTGATTTAGACTCAACTATAGTAGTGGAAGGTTGATGACTTGGGTTTACTAGGCAGTAACGAGACTCTGGCAACATTCAGTCATCTATTAAGTCCTTAGTTGTAAGTAAAATAAAAATACAACAATTAATCTGTTATTTATTATTAAAAGCTTCTCTGATTGAGAGTCAGCACCTGTATGAAACTAGATGTGATGGATGTTTAACGCACTCGAATAAAAAAAAGAAAAGCATCTAAATTTCTGTGAGGCTTAACAAGTTTTTTAGTTTGTCCCACTGATTAGATTGTGTACCTTTTGTTTGGTCAGGGTCAACGGCGTAAATATCGGTAAGCAGAGACAGCAATTGCTTACAGGCCCACGACCTCTTAGGGGCCCCATCACTGACACCTGGTGGACCCCCTAC